TGAGGTCGAAACTGCAGTCCACTGGTGCCTGGATGAGAACAACTTTTGGGAAAGCAAGGCTATGTGAAATTCAACTGAAAATTCAGCTAAACTCATATCATTGTGGGAAAATTCTACTACCAGTCCTTCATCTACTGTTTGCCTTGACGACTTAATAATAAACTGCAAATAAGCAATATTGTCGATTGCTATAGCAAATACAATGTTGCCCTGTCGACAATCGCGATATGGCCTCCGAGCAATTCGATTCTGCCCTGAGACCCAAAAAGCCTCGTGGCGGATAACATGGCGGCACTGTACGCTGCATTTATGTAAGATATAAAATGATCTAGTTAGTTCAAGTTTCATGTCAATCTCGGGTGTGTGGGTGTGTGTGTGTGTGTATTTTTAACATGTTAACTTAATCCTAGTCGTAGGAATGATAACCTACTCTGACGATGACCTTTGATGGCAAAAAGGCCGAAATTAAAGGAGGAGATTGCCTGGGGTCAGCGACAGCTTGCAAACGGGAATCCGCTGTCTTTTTCTGGCCGGACCGACCTTCAAATCTCTTTGTCACACAATTTTACTCGAAATGGAAGTAAGCCCAACAATTAAGGCATTTATCATTCTTATATGCATTTATCCTATTTCATTTAAGGCGATGAATGAGTGCTAGTTGAATTTTCCCACAATGATATGAGTAGAGCTGACGTTTCCATTGGGTTTCACATGGCCTGGCTTTCCCAAAAGGCGCATTCATCCAGGCAGAAGTGGACTGTAGTTTCGACCTCGCCTAATTCTCATCAGCACCCAAGCGGGATTTGAACCATCTCAGGGCTGTGTATAATCTCGACATCGTAACCACTACGCCGAATTGCCACGAGTGCCCTTGGGTCACGGGGCAGGTGTGCATTTCAACGAAAGTCAGGCATTTCCCCATATTTGTATTCTCGAAACACTACTTATGAACCAAAAATTTGGCATTCTTTTCTCGACAGGTTATTTAATCGTAAGTGAGTAGTGTTTTGAGATGTATTCACCCTATTTCGTGTAAGGTGATGAAGGACTGGTAGTAGAATTTTCCCACAATG